GTATCCTGTCTACATTATTGCAGGTAACTTTCACATGAACTACTCCAAAAAGCAGATGCTAGCAGCTAACAAAAATTAGCCAGCTAGCACATCACCTTTACCCAATCGGCTTTCATTGCAATTTAAATTTTGCATGGCCTTGTCCTCACATAGGACCGGTGCTCAGAAATTATTCCAGCAATTCATCCATCCAATCATCCTTTCAACTGACCCCTTTGTTATGAAATGCGTGTGTACCAGATGTGGTCATTGCTAACACTGAACACTGACCCAGCCAAGTTTGTCCCTTGTGTTGTTCGGCCTCTTCAGTAGCTCTTTGCTTCCACATGACTCGGGTCCTTTATCTCATTTGCCACCTCCACCCTGTCTCCTGCAGCCACATTTTCCTTTGCCACTCTCAGCTTCGTGTCATTTTCCCCGTCACCTTTCTCCTGTTTTTGCCAACCTGCCATGCGCTCTGTCCACCTCACCTGGAACCTTCCCTAGTTTTCCTGGCAGCCACAGCCTGTCTGTCAGACTCTCTTAAACTTGAACACCAGCCAAACCCAAATTAGCAATAGTCAAAATGCAATAAAACTACAGTTTCTGAGTGGTGCTGCTCGCACCCCTCCTGAAACACTCAGTACAATTACATGGAAGAAAAAACAAGAGAGCAGGAGTTCTTGAAAGGTTTAAAAAGTATTCAGAACCCTACTTTGGCATCAAAATTTGAACCATTTTGGATTAATTATGCAGCTAAGACACTGCGTAATGATGCAATATTGCTTAAACTCTGATTCCTCCCTCAGAAGGTGCAGAGGTCTGCAAAAGCTAAAAACTTTAATAGTCTTAACACCACATCTACTCACTGCACTCCTTTGGATCTTGGTTGTTACGGACGAGGACTTTTTGGCTCGGGGTCCTGAATAGCGACGTCCAGTTGATGGTGTTATAGAAGCAGAGGCGGCTGTTGTTGAAGATGTAGACGTTCCCAGCACTGATCTCACTCAACGACTGGAACTGGAGGGAGGAGATCCAACGCTGCTTCAAGATCAAAAGAGAAATACCACTTCCACTGAAAGAGAAGAGAGAATAGAAAAGGAAATGAGTCATGGCAAAGGGAGAAGGGGTAGAGGGGATGAGTAGGGAGAAGAAAGGAAATCAGAGAGAAATAACAAATTTAAAAGAAATAGTTGGAAGCACACAAGAAGATTTGGAAAGCAATTTTAACAAGATGGAAGAAGAGAAAGGAGGATGAAGGAGTAATTGAGGGTTTAGGAGGGGGAGGGGAAGGAAAGGAAAAGACAAGGTTAGAGGGTGGGATGAAAATATATGATGGAGAGGAACAGTAATGAGGGGAGAAAGGGAAAATGGATTAAGAGTTAAGCTAAGAGTCAGACAAAAGAAGAACAAGAAGTCACGTAAAGCTAGAGAAAAAAAAACTCCTATTAAAAATGTAATGTTAGAAAAAAAAGAAATACCAGACATAAAGAAACTTTTGCAGATGCAGAAGGTTTCTCCAGCTCGGACTTGTACTCGAGCACTGCTGAGCTACATGTACATCACGGGCATTTACAAAACCCGACTGGACCTCTTTTGACTCTGCAGACCTATCTATCTCGAATCTGTCACTTGCAAGCAAACACAGAACCTGTTATCAAAACAGGGCAAATCAAAGCTGTGTGACAGGAGCGCTTCAAAGAGCTTCTGTGAACAAAAACCTGCCGGTGGCTCACCAGCTCCAACGGCGAGATTATTGGTTATTTCTGCAGAATTGTGACATCATTTTGCAGCCTACGAGGTCTCTCCTTGACAAGGGCAGCTGATAACACTGGTCAACAATTTTTGAAAAGTTGCATGCATGAAACATCATATTAGATGCCATAGCAACTCAATTCAAGGTGTATCAAGGTGGGATGTTGTCACATACAGACGTTTCATCAATTATTCAGAATATTCTGACATGCAAATATGTTGATATTGTCCAGGAGTCGTATCATTTTAAGCATCCGTTTCATTTTCAGCGATCAGAAAGGAAAGAAAAGTTTGACTACATTTATTTCACAAGCATTTTGTCTATAGACAAGTGTAATATGAACAATCCCTCTGGAGTTAAGTGAGTATAATGGGTTTATTTTAATTTATTTAAATGTATGCTGTATAGCTTTGTGGAATTTATTATTACTCCTCAGTAATGAATGAGCAGAAAGCGGTGATATTGCAGTGTTTCCTCTTTACTGATCTCGCTCAGACGCACGCATTTGCAAACCTGCAACATCCATCCATAGTTTTGTTACGTGGGCAAACAGGATATTATAGACATCCTTGTTCTGTCTTAGACATTTTCCAGATGAGATTTAAACATGGGTCTTAAAAGGTGTCTTCCCACCTGGGCTTTGCTGGAAAACCTCTAAGAGCTTTTGTCCAGGAGACATCATGATTGGAAGCCCAAACCCAATACAGTTGGCTCCTTTCAATGCAAAAGAGGAGTGGCCCTACTCCCAGCTCCCTGTGGATGTCTGGGCTCCTCACCCTATTTCTAAGGTACAGCCAACCACCTTACAAAGGAAACTAATTCCAGCATTTAACAGATGTATTCTTTTAGTGACTACCCCAGACCAAATGTAAGGGTTGGATATATATTGGCTGGTGATTTGGAAACTGTCTCTCTTCGCCACAATAGTCCAGTACAATACCCACGTTACTGCTGACATCACAACAATCCAACTTTTTACAATCCACCTGCTCCTCTGTTGTGAACAATACTCAGAGATAGTTAAATGCCTTTTTTGGGGGGGGGGGCTGCCGTAGTTTACTCACAGGGAAGCCTTCCAATGGTTACCGGCAGAGGGAAAGTGTAAGTGCACCCAAATGATTTATCCTGCAATGGTCCAATTTTGGCAGAGTGGTATCGCGTCACGTCATAGCAAGAAGGTCCTGCCTTCAAATTCAGGTTGACTGGCAATTTTACACTGGCTGTAAGTTTAACTGTGAACAGGACTGGCTATCTGTCTTAATGTGTTAGCCCTGTAACAGCCTGGCAATCTGGTGAATCTAGACTCTCGGCCCTGAAATGGATAAGTGGAAGAAAATCCATGGATGGACAGAAGAAAGTTAGTGTGGGCATGCCTGCAAACATACCTGTAAAGAGCTCTGCCTCCAATGGTAGCCAGGCTGGAAAAAACACTAAGATCCGTCATGTTTTCAGGCCAGGATTGGATGTTGAGGTAACCTAAAGAAGACATGTCAGGCAAAGTGGTTGAACATGTGCTAATTAGTCTGTGGCGGTATTTGATGAAGGAGCACAAAAATAATGAGCAACGGATAAAAACCCTTCTGTTGCCTACATCCAAAGTTTCAGATCACGGAGCTGCTCTGAAGTTCAAGCAAGAAACCCTTTTCTTTGTAGGAAATGCGCTTGCAGAAGACAATATTTAATATTTAATATTGCTAATTAAAAGAATGGATTTAATATTCTGCACAATTTGTCTGGTTGCCTTTAATGACAGATTATATCAAATCAGCATCTGTGGAAATGACTTTAAAAGGGATAGGAGCAGGAAATGGCTGGGATAGAATGGCCATTGCTCTTTCTTATTGCTTAGGTTTTCATTATGAAAATGCAGTTTCACTCCATTAGCTGTTTGGCTCAACTGCAAGTCGCGGTTTAATATGACAAAAGGGTTTGTATACGAGGTATTGCTCATCCCTTAAGGCCTCTAATAGCTAATGAATAAGTACACACACAAGGATGCACACAGCAGCAGCAGCACACAGTGAAAGAACGTATAACTATGGAGATATTGCACACACACAATAACATTATATGCACCAGAGCTCCTTTTTGAGCTTACTGGCAAAAATCTGCTTTCCTCTTAAAGCTTTCTTTCACTACTTTAGAGGCCAAATAATTCACACGACCGCATGCACAAACACACCCTGTAATTCTTCTTGTATTCAGTGTTTCCAAGTGAGGCCGTCTTACCTGTGATCTCTTTCACGGTGCGGAACACGTTGAGGCGCTCAGGGTCCAAAGGCCCAATACCGTGATACATATCCCTGAAGAGAAGTATAAAGCATAATAAGTCTATGTTGCTAAAGCAAGGCTTTATAGATCAAAGTTTCATTAAGGTTTTTAAGCCACCTAAAGCCGATAGCCAAATTATGATTTATAATCATTCTGTCCTCAGGATGCTGTTAAGAGTAGCTGACAAGGTAACAACGCTCCCTCACCTTCACTGCTCTCTTTTTTTCTCCATGTGCAGTGGTTTTGTGTGTAAAGTTTTCATCCATGTAGTGAACCCTGTGTTGTCCTTCAGTAAAACTGCACATATTGCTGCTCCTACATAGTACCCCAACAGTGGGTTTATTAACTATGCATAACTAGAATGTGGTCACTTGTAGGGATCGACTTGAAGGCAAAAGATCAGTATGTCTGTAAAGAGTCTCGGTCACTCAGTGTGATGAGCTAAAGTTCAAGTCCAAGTGGCTTTTATGGTCATTTCAACCATGTACAGTGGCACAGTACAGAGTGAAATGAGACAGCGTTCCTCTGAGACCCTGGTGCTACATATGACATATAACGGACAAACACAGGCCTACGCAAAGTGCAATATATAAAAATAGCAAAAATGAACAAGACAAGACAGTGCAACAATAGACAGAACAGGACAATACAGTGCAATGGAGATGTGTGTGTGTCTGCGTGTGTGTATATGAGTGTAGGATAAAGTGCTTGAGTCCAAGACAACTGGACTTCTTTTAGGCTCTTGAAGACATTTCAACTCTTGTCCATTCTTTTTCAGCTCCAAGTAGAATAGCTAATAACGCTTAATGCGTGAAGTAAAATGTCTTCAAGAATCCCTAGTTGCCTTCAGCTCAAGCGCTTTAAAGCATCTATATGACTCGTCAGTAGACCAAACTGTGTACTAGACACCATCTTCACAGCACCCAATTTAAGAACCCAATGGGTATTGGGGCCGGCTGTGGTTCAGAAGGTGGAGCAGGTCATCTGCTAAAAACCTTGACTTCTCCAACCTGTATGTCAGAGCAAGACACTGAATCCCCAATACATTGAAAGGAGTATGAGCAAGTGAATGCTAGGTCAAAAGTGCGTAGGCATGGAAACAAAGCACTTGCATGAACTTGTGTGGCTGAGTGAATGACGCTTATTGAAAGTGCTCTGAGTGGAAAAGCACTATATAAGTACGTCCAACCCATTCCATCACCAAGGTCATCAATGGGGACAATGGGGATGCCAGAAGACATCTGGATCCAAACGTCTTGTTCTGTATGGCAGTTACTTTTTTGCCAAAGCAGATGAATTTCCCAGAAAAGAAAAACTGATTATCAAACCTCAGTAATTCAAAGAATGTACAGTTTGACCCCTTCTAGTTTAAAAAGAAATCCTAGAAAAAAAACCACATAGACAGATAATATTTGTTTGTGCATGTTAATCTAGAAGTTCTGAAATTTTATGACACATAAAAAAGTAAAAAGAAATCTTGAACTTTTTTTGTGTGCTCCATCAAATATGCTTAACAAAAACTTGTGTAAAATCATTGAGTGTGAGTGGCACTCACCCTTTAATGCCAGTAATGAGAAAGATGAGGTTGCCATTGATTTTGGTGCAGTTGACAAATTTATCAATATTGCTGGCGTCCACTGTTTGAGCTGACTGCAGGCTTCCAGTTCCTATACCGTCACACACTGAAACAACAAACACCGAAACACACAATTAGTTAAAAATGCTACTTAAATTACCATTTTAGCTGCTTTAGCAATGAAGAATTTACCTACTTTAATGCATATCTGAAGTCCCTGTATATTGCAAAGGCCTAATTTTGAGAAATTACCACTGGCCATTTGTCACTGTAACGTTTCATACTCTTTTATGAAAATATGGTCGTGCTTTTGGGTGTGCATGAAAGACCATGGCCCCTCTCCATGCATTGGAATTCTTTTGATGAAAGCATGGGCCAATCCACAGCCAATTCCTCCCTATAATGAATTCATTACATCTGCATTAATTAGACTTGCGGTCTAGTGTGAGCCAAGTATTTCTGACAGAGGCGGAGGGGATGATGAATAAGGCTGGCATTAAGTGGTGTAACCAGTTTTTGATAGTGATTTATACCAGCCAACGCGATATCTGAAATGTTAATTTGTTATCATTTCCCACAGTTCTTTGGGCTATCCCTCATTAACCCCTCCCTGCTATGTGACGATCTAATCAAGGGATTAACCAATCAATGGATGCCACAGCCCATACATGGAACCTGAAGAAAAACACTGTTGCCTTGCCTCCGTAAGAGAGAGGTCAGATCAGTTACCTTTGTGAGAACAATGTGATGACGGGGCTAATCCTCTGTATTGAACTGAAGTAATGCTGTTTAATTTCACATTAGCCATTTTAGGCATTTAGCGGACGGTCTTCCAGCAAAATGACTTGTAATTACTGAGCAGGTAGGAGCAGTTTCTCATTATGAGACTATTTTGTGTTAATTACCATGTCGACTGTTGTGGGGATCAAACACGTGACCTTCATTTATGCCATATTTAACTTCCAACAGGATGTAATGAGTATGCACTGGATACGCATTGCAGTGATAAGGGAAAATGAGTGTCATGTAGCCAAAGCCCCTTTAATGAAATGCGCAGAGATTAATTTTGCGTTAGGACCTAACTATTAATGTTTGAAATCAACAATATGGAAGGTTTAGAAAAGACTTCATTAATAAAATGAGATAAAGTTTACTGCATTGCTGAGAATGTTACAGATGTGAGCGCTGCACGGCGTGGCTCATACAGGAAAGAAGATGTTGATTTTGGAAGGGTCGCTGGAATCAATATCTGAGCTGTAAGTACATTCACGGTAACATAAAAAAAGCTAAGCTGCCTCCCGTGAAAATAAATTACATTTCTTATATAAAGCTTTTTAAGTGATTCCTCTGGGCTCGTGTTGATTTGGTATCATCACTGTTAGCATAAAGCTATTAGATTAAAATGTTTTAACTGCATAAGCTCTTGTACATACAGTAAATGCAGTGCAGTGAGCCTGGTAGCTGTAGAAGCAGGGGGAAAAAATGAGAATCAAACTGGATTATCACTTCACTTTGTTTGATTTGCACATTATACCCGTACATTATTGTTATGCTATCATAATAAATCGATAAAAATCTGCCAATTTTCATGGTTTATCCATTCAACAGCACACATTTGACAGCCTAAACCAAAACTACCCAGGCCAACGGGCAATAAAACACCCCAGGGTGACTTATGAGTTACTCCAAGTGTCAATTAATATGAAACCATGAGAAACCATGAGACAGAAATATATCTTGGCCACACTTTTCAAACATCCATCTTAGGTCTCTCACACAGGCTTAGAGACCAGTCGGTGCATTCCTTGATGGCTTGGTGTGTGGTTGTTGGAGGGTGCGAAACCAAAGTCCTCCTTGGGATTACCTTTGTTGAAAGCAGATTGCTGCAGTTGACCATAGTTTGCATGGAAGTTGCAGCATTATATATAAAAACTGTCCAACTGCTGTCCAAGCATGAGCAAAACCAGATCCCCACAAGTAAATGGAAACCCTCTGAGGTCACAGTAAAAGTTGTGTTTCCCTGCTGCCATCAACACATTACTAAAGCCACAACTTTTACTTTGAAGACAAATGTTCTCATTTTCTGGTTTGGATCAGTTTTCATAGTTTCACTGCTGCTGAGAGAGTAGTTGGTGAGTGTTTGCAGACAAGTTTGCATCCTCCATTGAAACTATGAGCAATTGCAGCATTTTGCTAGTGGTTTTCAGTGTGGTTCACTGACTGGTCTCTATGGCTTCATGATTGGGACATTAGCAATCAGTTTCATAGCAACTGCCAATCTCAAGCAACTACTTGATTGGGGAATTTTTCCCTTGGGATAGAAATATGGTTATTATTTTTTTTACTTTTGGCGACTGATTGGGGGAACAGTTGACAAATCAGAGACCTGAACCTATTACAGAATAACCTTTTGAGCAATTAACTGTGGTCACTGTGCACAACAAAAGCTGAAAAATCTTGCATTACAAGTGCATAGAGAATTTATGACGAACAGGTGCTTTAGCTTCTGTTTTGACTGAAAATGACTGTGTAGGTCAGATCTTGCTCTATCATTATTTACTGTATGGTCCCTCTTGTGTTTCTGCATACAAGAAATTAAAGATGGACAATTCTTGCTGAAATCACCTGGTTTATCCACAGATTTGTATATGCTTTATACCTATAACTTTAGCATTGCAGCTTTTGCTATCTTGTTTTTTAGAACCAGAGGGTGGTTTGCTAAGCTATAAGCTAATGTTAGCACTTTTGTCTCCAAAAGGAAATTGTTTCGTAACTTTCCTGTTTATGTGTTTCCTTTAGGTTTAAGTTTCATTTTGTTTAATTAGTAACTTCCCTGCTAGGTGTATGCTAGGCTTCTACTTCAGTAGTTTGACTCACAGAACTGGTCCACCATGTTTAACAGGCATGAAACACTTTAATATGACATTCAGCACAAGTTGACTAAAGGAACTATATATTTCACACTTTATTTTCAGAAATCGCTGCTTGAGTTTACCTTTTGGACAGATGTCTGTGCAAGGGATGCACATTTTAATCCGGTTCTCCTCCACTTCCATCTTGTTGCTGGGACATGCTCTCACACAGGAGCTGTGGTCCACGACAAAGTTATCTGATAGAAAAAGCAGCAAAAATCTGAATTACAGGACTTCACCAGTCTTTTAGCATACAGTGTACAACCCCTACAGTAAATTTGAAATATAATACTATAAAAATCAGAGCACATTCCTGGAAGGACCCCTCTAATTGTATGAAACTGATTGTATTTTAATCACATTTGTGTAATGATCAAAACTAATGGTCTATATCAGTGAGAAACAGTAATGAATTAGCTAAGTACTTGGTTGCAGAAACAGGAAAGCCAGACTGTGGTATGATCATCTGATGATCAGTAGAAGTCGAACATGCAGTCTCTTCATGTCACTCAAATTTTAATGCACGTTCGCTGAAATATTGCACTACCGTAACTGCACATCCATGACAGAACGAGCTAAGATTAGCTTTTTCAGCTGCCAGAAGCTGAAGCAGATGGCATAGCAACTAGCTGATTGAGATACACACTTTATTTATGTTTGATTTATGTTTGAGTAATCTATCTTGACTTGAAATAATTGCCTGGGGTCCCATTTCAGGATTGACAGGGGATAAATGACTCATCAACAGACGCCAGCACACATTCTAAAAAACAAAAAACAAAGACTTATTTACGAGCGTTATTATCAGCATCTATGTTATTGCGGCGTAGCGTTGTGTAATGGCACACACACTAGATCATTTTGCAGCTGCTTGGATGTGCACTGCATTCGCTGAGAATTAGGTGCAGACTTACGTGGACATTTCTTGACACAGAAGGCTCCATAGGTGTACTTCGCCCTGGGGTTGTGCTCTAACTGGAAGGACGTCGGGTTGTACACAAAGGGCTGAGGGCACTGGGTCACGCAGGCCCCGCTGTCATTGAAATTGGTGCAAGCCTGCAGAGGGAATACAACCGCAGTGAGCTAGGTTGAAGGCAAATGGGGAGGGCTGTGATTTTCCTGCATAAGTCACCATGAGCGAAAGAGTATTACAGCAGCATTTCATTTTTACGTGGGATTGCGACATGCGAATCATGCGGCTCTCCTTTGTCTCTTTGAACGCCAAATGGGAGAAAAATTGGAGCCATTGATCCACAGCCATGATGTAAATGGTGAAATGTTTTCCCATAAACCTCTTAAGTGATTTGTCGTCTGTGGCCACAGGCGGAAACAGCAGTAATTGAATTGGATGAGCCTTTCTGTGAATTACAACTACAATATCATCCCTGTCAGCATGTGCGGGGAAGTCATGCACCAGTTTGAGGAAAAAGGTAGAACTTGAGGTGATAAAAGGGATATTAATTATGACACAGAATCCCCAATTTGTCCTTTAAAGAGCGCCGCTGTGGAAGATGTTTACAGCACCATAAAATGACAAAAATTAATCAGCAGGTAAACAAAGTGGATCATTTTCGGGCGGGGAGGATGGCAAACAGATGTTGGACAAAAGATGTGGAATGGGAAGAAGGATGAGTGTAGATAGGATGATTTTCTTTCTTTTTTTTGGTCACTGTACGTGTGTGTTGAAGGCAGAAATAAAAGAAGTAAAGAGAGTTAAAGAGTGAGGAAGTGTGTGTGTGTGTGTGTGTGTGTGACGTACAAAGCAGTCTGTGTCCTTGGGGCCGGAGCAGCCGCCGGCGCATTCGCGATGGCAGCAGTCGCTGACGTAAGGCCCGAAGCATCGACCGTCACACTGCTCTGCACACACCGTTTTTGTCACTGCACGGGAAGTGGAAAGACTGAATTTTAAAGGTCTGGCACATACACACAGACACGCACACACATCTACATACATTCACACTCACAAAGAGAGACAATACCACCACGCTCAACCTTCCTCTCTAGTCACAACTGCTCAGTCGCATGTAGGCAGGAAGAAATTTGGGGCTTCAGCAACCTAAAGGTCAGCCAAGTTGGTTTGCGACCACAGAGTCACTGCCTAGAAAGCACAGACGTACTTTAAAAACATGAAGCACTGTCTTCTGTCTCAAGAACCTCCTTGGACACCCTTGAAGAGGACTCTTCTCCTCTAACTGCTCCGAAGCTTTAGCTCAGAGACCGAACAGCTGAAAATAGTGTTTGACAGCGTCCAGGAATGAATTTAAGGGGGAGCTTTGCTTGTGGAAACCCAGTTGGTTTTCCCTAGATACATAAAGTTTGGAAAAAATTAACTGAATCTCACAGATTCGCCATATCAGTGTTTATACAATGGGTGCTTTCAGCCAAGCGAGTCAATTGGCCAAAGACGCCGTCCAACTGTTCTGATTCCCAGAAAGCCTGGCTTTACTCGCTGATATGCCAACTTTTGCAGTAACCAGGGAAATATTTACTGCCATTCCAGTTTCTTCTCTGTATTTTATTTCAACTAGTTTAACGGGAGCTGTGTAAGTATCATTAGTAATGTGTGGCTTGTCCCCATTTCATCAGCCAACATTTTTTGATAAAGGACAGTCTCCCACACAGTATTGATAAAGATGGAGATAGACCAGCCAGAGAGTCAGCAGGAGCTTGAAGCCCAGGCATTAAAAACTGCTGTGCTCACTCTGTGCTGAGTTGCGAACATAATGATGCAGTAGTGAAAAAAAACAAGCCTCTGTAATCTATTAGTCTGTTAGTTTGAGAAAAACAAGCCAGAGCCTCTCTAAGTCTTTCCATGAGGGAAACATCCTGTAATTATATGAACGGCAAACATTTCTCTAGTTAAACTCCTTCCTTTGGTATCTTATTTTTTTCCTTTTATTTGTTATGTGCCAAGTATTGCTACACGGTGATGAACAGTTATTTCCTACCTATAATTAATAATACATTTTCTAGATATTGGCTATAAGCTTGGTGTCCAACTTTAATAAAAATGAGAAGAAAAAGAAAAAAATAGGATAGTCCTCATGAAGCTTAAATAGCAAATCTATGCCAAAGCAGATTACTGGAGATTACAGATTATTTTAAAGCAGATTTTACAGTATCATTAATTTTCTCCTGCCAGTCAGTAAAAACAAACACACTGTTTGTGTGGGAGTACTTTTTTTTCTTTTTAAATGAAATGACCTATGCTAGGCAAATGAGTCGTAGGTTAGTTAGCATAGCTTACTGGCATAAGACTAGACTGTCTATATCTGAAGTGAAAAGAATATCCTGGTTGTTCCTAACTTAGCCCTGCAAAATCAGAGAGAAATAATGTCTTCAAACAACATTTCATAACTGTAAGATTAAGAACATCGATTTTAGCCCCAAGCCTTTGCATTGCAGGGTAAGGTTAGCCTAGCTTAGCCAATAAACTGCTAGATTTCACAGTCTAAATTTTCACTAAAATGAACATAACACATTTAAACTTCACAAACTGACCTTTTCACACTTCCACAAATCTAATGATATATTTTATATGTGTTTGAATGAAATGCATTGGATCTAGAACACTATTAGCCAGTCTTAGGCAGTGTTGCCAACTCCTCAGTAAGGAAAATCGCTATTGGCTGTCCTAAAAGTCGCTAGAAGTCGCTAAATGACGTCATCACGTAATTTGCATAATTGGTTTTGGTTAAAATGTAATTGTAACCTATGCTGTTGGAGAGAGAAATAACATCGTGGAAGAGACATAAAGTGAGTAAAAAACGTCCTAAATGCATTTAGAGTTTATTTAGAACTACAAATTAAATTTATTTTAGCAATTATTGTTTTTTAATGTCACAATTCCAACCCTGCTCCTTTACCCGGGCTTGGACTGGCAAAAGTGACCGGAAATAGGCACTCTGGTGGAGTGTGTGTGTGTTTATAAGTAGTTTTAAACCTTGTGATCCACAAAACAGCATAACAGTAAAAGAGTAAAAGAAGAACTGACTGCGTTACAGCACCCGCTGCTTGTTGAGAGTAAAAGCGATATGCGCTTTCACGTCTTTTTTTAGCGACTTTTTTTTAGAAAAAAAGTTGCTAGGGGGTCTGAAAAGTTGCTAAATATAGCGACAAAGTCGCTAAGTTGGCAACACTGGTCTTAGGGAATAACTAGCTTGGTTTTGTCCAAGTTGCCAAAAATACATATAGGCACATCTAAAACACCATTACCATTATGAAACTTGGTTCACTAAAGGGCTCAGTTAACATCTAAAATGTTCAAGTTCATAAGAGTACAACTAGAAAAAGATTTGTTTGGAAGCATTTTCAGGAGAAAGCCTCTTCTTTCAAAAAAAAAAAAAAAACATAGCAGTAAAGCTTAGCTTTGCAAAGTTGCAAGTGAACAAACTACAAGACTTCTGGAACAATGTCCTTCGCACAGACGATAGCAAAGTGGAGATGTTTGGTCATGACACACAAAACCAAATATAGCATATCAGCACAAACACCTCATATCAGCTGATTTATGGTGGGGTAATGATTCAGGCTTATTTTGTAGCCACAGGACCTGGGCACCTTAAAGTCATTGAATCCACCATGTACTACCAAAGTACTCTTGAGTCAAATGTGAGTCCAACAACTTAAATTTACTTCAAACTGGCTCATATAACGGGGAATGACCCAAAGCAAAGCAGCAAATTTACAACTGAATGGCTGAAAAAGATAAAAACTAAGGTGCTGCAACGGCCCCGTGAACTGAACTGAAGCAACATTGTAGAGAAGAGTGGGCCACAATTCATCCAAAATGATGAGACTGATAAAGTCATACAGAAAAGTATTACTTCAAGTTACTGCAGCTAAAGGTGGTTCTGCGAGCTCCTGAATCATGAGGTGTACCCCAGAGTGCCACGTAATGTGAAAACGTTCTTTTTCACATGACTGTCTCTCTCTGTGCATAGCTATTTGACACCACTCTTAACTTCAATACATGTAGCACTGGTCCACAGTGTTACCTTTACAATAAAGGGTGTAGCTTTGGAGTTGTGTTATCAGAGTGGGATTTATAACTTGGCACCATAGACAAATGGAAAATTGAGCTTTCAATATAAGTAATTATTATGAAAAAGTTTTCCAGCCCAAAGGATGGTGTTTGTCTAACCAGCAAGTTCAGGGATTATTGGCCAAGTTGATCCACCCCTTATTTGCAGGGCAAAAGTCTTCTGATTGACCCAACACCTAATGTGGACTTTAGTTGGCCTTATCTGCAAAGAAGTAAAGCTACACATGCACGTGATATCAGTAAAGGGAAATAGGAAAGAATTTTAAATTTTATACTGGGAAAGCAATACATTACATCACATTAGTTTGAGGTGGGACTGCGGTAGTGCACTTACAAGTTTGACACTGGTCCTCCTGATGGCCCCAGCAGCGTCCGTTACATGAGCGATGACAGCGTCTGCCTGCAAAAGACACCGTACATCAGAGAACTCTCTGCAAACTTCCGACGTAGTTTTGACACAAACACACATTAAAGACACTGCCCCCACACACATCAAACACCTAATCGTTCGCTCGTGCATGCCCTTAAAACTGCTTGACTAATGACAGTGACAGAACTGACGAATCTCCTCCGCTCATCCAACAATAGATTTCAAGTCACTGGCGACTCATGGCCTGCGAGAAACATGAGCATGAAAGACAGGCTTCTTCTCCCTTCCGTCAAGAGCTAGCAGGCAAAGTGGGACCTGACAGAGCATTCACAGCCTTCATCTGCCCGTGGCCCATCATCAAGACTTAATTGACTATGGGTTAATTACAGAGTAAGGGGAATAGTGAGGCAGATTGTCACCCGGCCCCTTCAACCACTCCCACTGTGGGGTTGTTAATGTTAAATACTAACTACAACTTGGCAAAGGGCCTCAATTTGGCAACCTCCACTCCCACAAACTCTCTTGTCATTTTTGGCCCACCTCCTCTGTTCTTTGTTTCTTTTCATCCCCTTCCTCCTACATCAGTGGCATCTCATCAACAAAATAGCAATGTTTCACGCACATTGTACTTGTACAGTGTCTTCCCCAACCTTTATTGTCTAGAAACAGGCTTTGCATGATGTCCTGATCCCTGCTCATGCTAGTCAGATTGTATTCTGTTCATCCTGCAAAGTGTAAAAAAAAAGGTCATAACGCCTTTTCATTTGCCTCATTGTCTATGTCTTTGCTGCCACTCGGTGCCACAGCTGTCCCCATTGTTCACCCTGACACGTTTTGATACAGAGACCCTGAAGAAACAGCTTTCCATCCCTCAAAATGAGCAAAAGGCTTGCCCATAAATGCGCAGAAAAGTTTGAAAGAGTTGTCTTTAGCAGCCAGTTCCTCTGACAGAAAGTCCGCCGGATACTGACGCCTGTTATGGCCAAAGCAGAGGGAGCTGAGGGACAGCCGGGACCACAAAGGGGGTGAGGCGGTTGGGTAACAAGGGAAGTGGGCAGCTTCAAACCAGCTGTCAGATTCACTGAGATTTAAAAAGACCACAGCAGACAGCAGCTCCATGGGCCTTGCTGCAAAGTCGTTAACATACCACTACAATAGAAAGGTTCACGGGTTGATCTAACACTATGTGATTTTGCTTCCAAATGACCGCCAGGCAAACAGAATGAGGATAGGGTGTGATTGCTGCTGGATGTGTGTGTGTGTGTCTACAGTATGTTGGAATGTGCCACTTTAACATTTCACTGACAATACTTTAAAGGGCACCTATTACATTCATATCTTGCTCCACATTTTTATTCTTGGACTCTAGTAGAGAAGCTTTGCATGATTCACAGTTAAAATGACCCTTAGGTATCTTATACTGGACCTTAGTGCAGCTGCCTGTTAGTTCATTTACTGCTTGAAACAGTCCTATTTGACTCCTTTAACTTTTCCTTAAGCCAGCTTTCTTATAATTGGCTGCCCCACCCAAACAGAAGGTTTGAACAGCTGTGGATGTGGTTTCAGTGCCAGAGATTAAGTATATCTGTCATATTAAACCTGTATATGACGTATATACAGTTGTGATCAGAAGGTTACATCCACTCATCATGGGCATGAATGTCAGGGTAATTTTGTTCTATTTCCAGGGTGGAATGACACATATTTAATGACTTTATGATTTTGGAATCTGCAGTTGTTTAGAAATGGCAGGAAGAGACCTTCCAAAGCTGTGTAAATCTCCAATTATTCTTCTTACAGCTTCACTGAATTCATTGGACTTTCCCATTGCTTTGAATAGTGTTTAACCCCATTCGTGCTGTCAAACAAACCTTTTCTATGCTGGCAAAGAGAAACTACCAGTTGTAGTCTATTATGATCACTAATGAGGAGTTTACAGGGCTTGGTATTGTTGAGTTAAAAGACATTATTGAACTTTCAACACCAAACTTTTAAAGGATTTAAGTGAATATATGTATATATTTGAGTCTGTATGTATACTTTTGGCTATGTGGATTAATAGCTTCTTGCCAATTTGTTCCGAAACCTCCATCCTTCATTCATCCATCTTCTTCTACTTATCCAATTCAGGTCTACCGGGGTGCTTTTAGCCTATAAAATCCCATTTACCTCTTCTTTAAAACAAGAACTTAAGTGTTCATAGCTTGGGGGCATCACCAGTGACTTAGAGGTCAGAAGGTTAATCTAATCAAAAACTACTGGTTCTACCGGTTTTCACCCTCACTCTGTACTCACATCCATTGTTGCTGTTGTTGGACGGCACCACCAGCAGCTCAGCTTGGGGGTTCTTGATAATGTCACGCCAATGGATGGTGTCTGCGTGACACAGGAATTTGTTCTGGTCAACATAAACGCCCCCATTCAGTATCTCTGCACAAGGAGAAACAGAAAGGAGAGAGAAAGAGACAAATGAGCACATAGCCGTGGATATAGAGTACATGTGCACGATGGCAGAAAATCAATACTTCAAGGTTAACTCTTCTCTTTGTCTCAAAGTACCACGCTGCATATGCTGTTCCCTGAAGCGCATCTGAGCATGACGATAAATGCTATTGACAAATGCACACAGATATTCTATGCCAAGTCCAAAGATATTTGTATAGAGAGTACCTCATAAAAATAAGCAAATGGATTTTAAAGAAACTCCTACTATACGCCAGTCTGATTTCCTAATTATGCGCTGAGTATTATTAAGTAATTTCATTTATCTTCAGAGTTAATGAGTTTGAATGTCACAGGCAGACATGATACTTGTTGTGTTAATTAAAACTGGAGCAGAGAAAGCGCATAGCTTCGGAGTTTAGATGCACTTAAATCATGAAACTTTTTTCTTTTTATTGTTGAATTATTAACTTCAAGACTCCTAAGCCACCCAAACAATCAAACTGTCTCATAGAAAATAACTGGAACTGGAGCTTTTCGTGACCTACTCCACAGTGAGAGCCAACACACCAAAGACAAAGGCAGGCACTTCAACCAGCATTTGCTTAATAGCAAAAATATGTTTCCTTTCAAGGACCAGTGCCCTTAACAGATGCCTGGGCATGGATAGTGATAATAAATTCTAATCCCTCTCCCTGTTACTAATCCAGGTTTTGGATATAGAGACTGAATGAAATGATGCTGCAGTAATCCTCCCCTCCTGAGTTGTGACCCAAAGCAGAAGGGAAAAAACAGCCCCCATCAGTGTTTCTTTCTCTCTGGGATACCAGCCGACTATATAATTTAACCTAGTTGGGGGATTTAGATATAATCATCTTGCATCTCCGTCTCCTTGAATATGATTCCATGAAAGTACTTGTCAAAATAAATGAAATTTAATAATGAAAAAAGAAGCAACAATGTGCTTCAGATTAGGGCTGGATTAGCTGAAGGTAAAGAAGGGCATTGTCTCTCCAGGCAGATTATTAACGGCGTGCGCTTATGATTCGACTGCTGAGAAGCGCACACACACACAGGAAGCTAATCATTACCATCCGACACCCTGATTAAAGAAGTGGGCCTTGGTGGAGACGGGGACATTTATTCAAAGCTCTCTTAGAGGTGACATGGCGCTCTGTCTGCCTGCTGAATGGCCTACAGCCGCAGCTTCATGTAATCATGTTCCCGTCACAATGGACGATTTATCTGGGCGTGTTTTACATTCATGGATGGCGGCTGGAGAGAAAAAAAAAAGGAAGAAGAAGCTTGTTCAAATAGCACATGGACTGCACCATCAGCATGCTTTGATAGTGTTCAAAAATAGCTGTGAAATGAACAGCCATCCGTTACTGAACCCCAATTAATTATTTTTCAGACGGCAGATGTGTCCATATGTGCATTTCCTGTTTCCCCTTAAGTCTCCTTCATGTGATAGAGGGCTTTGTTGTTGAGCCGCTTCATGCCTCTAAAGATCCTTGAACAAACAACCCATTAGTTCAGACATACTGTGCACATAGACAAGGTCATCAGGGAGCACGTAACAGGTCAAGCTTATAGGTTTTACACACACACAGGCTCATCGGACATTTGCTTGTGTCAGGCATCTTTCCACCACGACTGGGTGAGGGCCCTACTTTGCTTGAAAATGACCTCTTTTTACAACTGGCTAGAAGTGAGCATCCCTCGCTGGATTGTTACGTGTCTTGCCTATGAGATAAAAACACTGTAAAACCTTGAAGTTTCTGAAGGATGTTTTAGTTTATGTCAAACTACAGACTCAGCAGATGTTGCCTCTCATATTTTGCAGCTGCAAGCGAGGATTTATAATGGGGTGCTATGCTAGGGTAACACCTTGAAAAGCTTTTGAAGGCTTTTTTGTCCAGTAACTGAAAAAAGACATAGTATTGGTTCGGCATTGTAAATAAAGGCCGGCACACTAAAAAGCAGGTTTTGTGCAGTGTGTTTGACAGGCACATAAAGCACTCTTAATGCTGTGTAAATGTTGTGAAGCACAAACAAGCAAGGTTCAGCTAATTTTCCTTTAATTACATTTATTTGTAATCTGTTTTCAAGCATGGGGCCATCGTTCAATTGCAAGAAATTGGAAAGGAAAGACTTGACAGAATATATGAATCTCTGGAAACATGCTGCACATTAAGCAATCTCATCTGATCTACA